AGCGCCAGCCCCGGGCGCGTGGCGCTTGGGGGAGGGGGGGGAGAGCGCCGGCCCCCGGAATGCAGCTATGGGGGGGCCCCGCCCCGCGGGCGAATGGCCACGCCCCCTGGCGCCCGGCAACCCCAAATGGTTGGGGACCACTGCTTTAATCCAATGCCATAAGCATTAAAATGTATTAATTGTTCTGTGGTATTGCCTGGCAGCACTACAGCACAGAGTTATGCATGGATGGGTGCTCTTCCTGTTCTTTTCTCATTTCTGTGTTTGGATTTTTCACTGTGGCCTTACTCTGAATTTCATGGGTCTATAATGCTTAGTTTGGGAATATTTACAATATCCCTGCAGTAATTGTTTTACCCTTAAATTACTGATACATACACCCAACCTTCACTTAGGCAGTGTCTACGCTAGCAAACTTAGTGACACGAGCTGCACTGATGCAGCAGAATTACTGTAAGGTCACTCACGTAGCTAGAGGGAGAGAGTTTAACATAGCTACCACTGCTTACTGGGGGTAGTTTAATTATGATGGTAGTAGAGCATCTCCCACAGATGTAGCACTGTCCAATTAAAAATGGTTGCTCAGGGTGTATTTTTCACACCCTGAGACATGTAAGTCATGCCAACAAAAGTGCTAGTGTGGATAGTTTTAATTTTCACATTGTTTTTTGCTTGACTGTTTAATTCATATGTAGTCTAAACAAATTCAAAGACCTTATAGGCAGGATTAAGTAATAATATTTTACTGAATAAATCAGTAGTAGAAATGTTGCTGTAAGTAGTTATCTTTTACATATTCTGATAGAAGATTTGCAAAAGATTACAAATGAAAGAACATTAACATCCTGATGTTGTGGGTAAACCATGTTAATAGAAAATGGAGTTCGGTTGCCGAGACTTGATTGTGTATGAACTAGCCTTTTTTAGCTAAATTTTTTTTCTTTAGATGTTCTTCCAAAAGCTGAGTCACATCTAAATGAAATCAGAGATACAATATTCGCTCAACTTCAACCCCAGTTAAAGTGTCAGTTGGGTAAGTAATTATTAAGCAGTTTTAGTCTTTATTTTCCAGTTCTGTAAATGCAAAGTTTGCTGTTGTGGAATGCATTTTAAAGTATTGACAAGAAAGTGAATGTAAAAAACTTGATGTAGTTAATTGTTGACATCTCTCTCACTTCATCATTCAGTGAGCAGCTGTTTGATATCTTGTCCGTGTCCTTGTCTCCTGTAGTGCCTGTATCTTCAGGCTCACAAGAATTTTCTGCTAAGTGCGTGCAGAGATTAAAAAAAAAAACCTTGTGATTGTGCAAAGGGTAGCAGAAATTTTATTTGCAAAAGGCAAAGCTTGTTTCTCGTATGAATGGAAAATGTATGCAACGTTGGACAGTGGAAGAGCTCTTTGAAGTGAACACTTCTTAAATGTCCAGTTGTAATTTTTAGCAACGGAAAAAGTGAGAGTAATATAACACATACTTGTGCGTATATATGTAGAAAGAAGATAACTTCAAGATCTTAAGACTTGTTTTTATTTTGGGGGACAAGTAGGTTAGGAAGTTTTTGGAGAAAGTTGGTACAAGTGCTGAATGATCTGACCAGGGGCCGTGCGCAGCTTGACCTTCTGCTCACAAACAGGGAGAACTAATAGGAGAAGTAGAGGTGGGTGACAACCTGGGAAGCAGTGATCATGAGATGGTAGATTTCAGGATCTTGACCAAAGGAAGAAAAGAGAGTAGTAAAATACACACCTTGGACTTCAAAAAAGCAGACTTTGATTCCCTCAGAGACCTGATGGGCAGAATCCGCTGGGATGCTAACATGAAGGGGGAAGATCCTGGAGAGCTGGCAGTATTTTAAAGAAGCTTTATTGAAGGCACAGAAAGAAACCATCCTGATGCGTAGCAAGAGAAGCAAACATGGTAGGAGACCAGATTGGCTTACAGGGGAAATCCTTGGTGAACTTTGCACAAAAAGGGAGTTCACAAAAAGTGGAAACTTGGACAAATGACCAGGGAGGGGTATAAATGTATAGCTCGAGAGTGCCAGGGGGTTAACAGGAAGGCGAAAGCGCAAATGGAATTGCGACTGGCAAAGGATGTGAAGGATAACAAGAAAGGTTTCTACAGGCATGTTAGCAAGAAGGTGATCAGAGAGGGTGTGGGGTCCCTACTGGATGAAGGAGGTAACTTAGTGACAGATGATGCGGGGAAAGCTGAAGTACTCAATGCTTTCTTTGCCTCTGTCTTCACGGACAAGGTCAGCCCCCAGACTAATGCACTAAGTGATGTAAGATGGACAGCCCTTGATGGGTAAAGAACAGGTTGGGAACTATTTAGAAAAGCTAAATATACCCGGATCCATGGGTCCGGACTTAATGCATCTGAGGGTACTGAGGGAGTTGGCAAATGTCGTTGAGGAGCCTTTGGCCATTATCTTTGAAGAGTCGTGGAGATCAGAAGAGATCCTGGATGATTGGGAAAAGGCAAATGTTAGTGCCCATCTTAAAAAAAAAAAAAAAGGGGGGGGGGCGG